CTAGGATACAGGCCAGAGATGCAGAGGGTGAGAGGATTCACCAGAGACAGAGTGGGGAGCAAAACAGGCAGATCACGAAGTACACTGCTGAGGGGAGCAGCGGGCAGGCCAGGAGAGGTCTGCCACACCATGTGGTCACCTCCGGGGCAGGCAGGGATCGAACTCATGCAGAAGTGGCTTTAGCTTCTTAGTGCTGCGCTTTAACCCGCTGCGCCACCAGGGAGGGCCTCTCGTTTGGATGTTTAAAAATATAAACAACATACTGCTTCCATTTAATTACAGAATTCAACCTACATTTTCATTTCTAATTATATCCCGATCACTCCTCTTACATCAGCAATTTCCTATCTTCTTTCCTCTCTCTACATCCAACATGCATACATGTGGAACATATTTATTTGTAAGATTAAAATAGTTTAATTCTGTTGTAAAAATTAAAAAGGGTAGTGAAGCTCTTCAGATTAATATAGAATAATTTCCAGGATATATTGTATGAATGAACCAAGAGACTATAATGTGGATAGTATGCTATCTTTTTAATAACAAGGGGAGAAATAAGAACATGTATTCATGTTTGCTTGTACTAACAAAAAGAAACACTATAAGGATTTATTAGTCCCTATAATAATACAGCTGAATATGGAAGGAGGAGGATCACAAAGGAGAAGATGAAGATAGGAGAAAGACTTCTTAATATCTTAAAATTGTTTGACTTAAAATTGTTGTTTGTTCAAAAATATTTTTAATGAAAGGGAGTTAAGATTTATCTGAGACAGAAAAAAAAATCATGGAGGTAGCAAACAATGTATTATTAGTGCTTCTGGATTATTAGGCCATGATGTACAACAACTTTGCTTATTCAAAACAGTAATTTCTTAGCCACCAGAGTAAAACCGATCAAAACATAAGAATGTACTTAATTTCTGATGTGTCAAGCCAGAATGGAGAGTACAGGGATTAATATCAACCTTCACTCTTTCCCCACATCAGCCAGACTATGACCGGTATGAACAGCAATGGCTCTGAAAGTCTAAGTTACAAGGAAAAGATTTTTCTCCTTACTCAAGCACTGGAACTCTGAAGGGGCTGGAAGAGGTTTTCTGTGTGAAAAATTCAGCCTGCAGTCCACTATCTCCAGGTGCTGAGCAAAACTGAACATGTGAGTTTCTTGCTATTAATTGCAAAGAAATAACTACAAAATGCACTTAACATTCAATCTACAGTGTTATACAGAAACTATCCACATGAGATACTTTTCAGGATCTATCTGTGTATGTGTGTGTGTGTGTATACATGTGCATATAGATAGATAGATAGATATACATATGTAAGTTAAAAAATGAGAACTGTCTTGGCAAACAAATCTTTCAAAAACTTGAGGCAAGGGAAAGCTATACAGTGAATCCTAAACATTGGGGAGAAAGAAAAAAAGTAAAACAAAAGGATGAGTGATTATTTTTTAAGTGTTAACATATTTCAATCCAAAATAATGAATCTATAAAAAAATCTATTCTCAGCATTTTAAGAAAATTATTATGTAATATTTTACCCTGACATTATTTTCTTAAAAAATATATTTCTAAAATAGTCAGCAAACTACTCCCCCACCCACATAAAGGAAGAGAAAGAAGAGAAAGGAAAGGTCACCTCATCTTTAGAGAGTTTCCAGTCATCATTAAGATCCATTTCTTGGAATGATTCATGGGATCTTGGTCCATTTCTAATCTCCAGGAGGTCAATGTTGAATATCAGTGTACTCTCGGGGGGAATTTTACCTGTCATGGATAGAGAGGGGTTTAAGTTTTATTAAAAAGTTCAGCCTACAGCCCACTAATTGGGAAAAAATTTTCTCACACAAAACCAGTGATAAAGGACTGATCACAAAAATATACGGAGAACTGACAAAACTCAACAAAAATAAGGTAAACAACCCCATCAAAAAATGGACAGAAGAGCTAAAAAGACACCTCTCCAAAGAGGAAATGCAGATGGCCAACAAACATATGAAAAACTGTTCAACATCACTTGTAATAAGGGAAATGCAAATTAAAACCACAATGAGATACCACCTCACCCCAGTGAGAATGGCATATCTTAAAACAACTAGCAACAACAAATGTTGGTGAGGATGTAGTGAAACAGGAACTCTCCTGCACTGCTGGTGGGAATGCAAACTAGTACAACCACTATGGAAAACTGTTTGGAGGCTCCTCAAACTGCTTAACATGGAGCCTCCCTATGACCCAGCAATCCCACGCCTAGGTATCTACCCAAAAGACACAAAACACTGATTCAAAAAGATACCTGCACACCCATGTTTATTGCTACTTTATTTACAATTGGAAAAACATGGAAGCAGCCCAAATGCCCAAAAGTAGATGACTGGATTAAAAAGATGTGATACATATATACAATGGAATATTACTCAGCAACCAAAAAAGAGAAACACATGTCTTTTGCAGCAACTTGGATGGAGCTGGAAAAGATCATGCTTAGTGAGATAAGCCAGAAAGAAAAAAAAAAATACCGGATGGTTTTGCTCATAGCAGGAGGTTTTGCTCATAGCCTGGACCAGGCGAGAAAATAATAATAATGAACAGTCATATACCAGAGACATTTTGTGGGGGTGGAGTGGGAAATGGAATCAATTTGGGGGTGGGGAAGGAATTGCACAGAACTATGATGATGGCGCATGGGTGACTCGTGATGGGAAACCCATGGGGATTACAATTGAGATGAAAAAAAAAAAAGTACAAAATGATGTAAAATTAAACTATTATATTAAAAAAAAAAGTTCAGCCTCCCTGGTAGCATGGGATTAAGTCTCTGCATTATCATGCTGTCACTGCTGGGGCCTGAGTTCAATCCCCAGCCAGGGTCCTAACCCACAAATGGTACAGCAGACCTCTCCTCTCTTGTTCACTACTCCCTTTAGTAGTGTATTTCAGTAGTTCTGTCCCCTACTCTGTCTGGTAAATCCTCTCTCTCACACACAGAGACACACACCCACCAAAACTTTAGGCTACACCCCCAATTCTTGTATGCATAAATAAATAAAAATAAATCTTAAAAAAACAGTTCCCAAACTTTTGGTGAATGAAAGTTTGTGTAATAAACTTTATTTCTTTTAAACATTTATTTATTTCTGCATACAGAACTGGGGTATAGCCAGAGGTGCAGGGGCTGCAAAGGATTCACAGAGCCAGGAGTCGAACAGGTAGGTCAATGAAGTACACTGCTGAGGGGAGCAGTGGGCAAGCCAAGAGAGGTCTGCTGCACCATGGATCAGCTCCGGGACTGGGGACTGGGGATCAAATTCGCACTGAAGCGGCTGATGCTAGCTTGCAGTGCTGCACCTTAACCCACTGCGGCACCAGCTTTCTAAAAGAATGCTTTTAATTTAATTAAACGAAGAATCTTCAAAAAATAATCACATATGACAGAAATTCTAATAATTGCATTTTATCCAAACAAATAAAATAAAGGACTAACCTAGACTCATAGACTAAAAGTGTTTTTGTTTGCAATTAGAAAAAATCATTTTATACAAATTTAACTTTCAAATATAATTAATATATGACATATCAAGAATGACTTAAAGGGTCTTAAATACTTTGAAGTTAATTATATTACAGGCAACTTATACTAACCATCAGGTTAAAAGTCCAGATGCATAAGTAATTGTGGCACTGCCATTTTCTGCCACTGGGAGGCAGTATGTAACTGAGCTAAGGCATCATACTGACATCAGTTCAGAAAGTTAAGATTGGTTTATTTGGCCTGTCTTAAACCTTAATTTACTCACTGGTAAAATGCAGATGACAAAAATTGCCCACTTTGGGAATCTGTTGGGAAGATGAGTAGAGATAATCCATGCAAAATACCTAAGTATGGATTATGTCCCTTCTTCTTGAATAGCAAAAGCATATGTTACCAAAATTAAACAGGCAGACTTTGATACAAGGCATGAAAGTTCAGCTATTTCAGAAATTTAGAAAATACCTATTCTAATATAGAACACTATAAATATTTTTAAGAAATGTCATGGGTAAGGGAAAACATTAAAGCAAACTCCTAGAAAATGAGATAAAAACCTTTTAAAATAAACAGCTTTGTTATCATCTCCAAGTAATCAAAAAAAAAAAACTTTCTCAGATGTATGGGCACTTTTTATCAATCTGTTTACTTATAACTATATTTAACACCCCGGTGTGGGTATGTGAAATAAATATATGTAAATATGTAAAATATTTCTTAGTTCTTCCCAGCCCACATATTTTCATGAAAGAGCATTTGTAAGTGTCAATGAAAACAAAACTTACACTGTGTGCCGAAGTTTACCAATCCAGATCTAGACAGAGAAGGTACATGCACTACAGGTCATCGACAAAACTGGGATCTCTCCAAAGGAGGCATGCAAACATAGTACTAAAAAACTACAAAATTAGTGTTAAATGCGTATTAGCAGAATTAATTTCATGTACTTAGAAAGAAATGACTCACTTTTAGATTTCTACTTGTTATAAAGTAAAATTGAGTTAAATGTTACAGTTCGGAGAAAGACTAAAGGACTAATACTTTATAAAGATTAAAGATGAAACAATAAAATATAGGAAGGTGATAGAAAACACTGAAACATCAGAGAAACATCTTCTAGATACTTGATTTTCTTCTCTAACAAGAATTATCATTCAACTAAGAACTGAATTTGGTTAGTAAATCCTGATCTATGCAAATATTCATATAGTAACTTTCCTTTAGGTCACAAAATGATAAACATGACATCTATTCTCAAGAAACATGGCCTAGAAATCCCAATTCCCACCATACAAGTGGTTAAATTCAAGCCAAAGGATACTATGAACTATACTTAACTACATCAAAGTGTTTTGATAACACTAAAATTTTTCCCTTCATTATGTAAGAAATACATGACCATTGTAGAAAATTTGAAAGAGAACCAGAAATAAGTATAATTTCTGGCCCCACGGCCCATTGTTAATATGTGTTTGATTCACTTTGCATATTTTCCCCAATGCTTACTAATATATATATTACAGTTTTATTTTCTACTTTATCTTCTATATAACATATAATACACATTTTAATATAGTAATAGTAAAAATCTTTGAAGCACTATTTTTACATAACTAAACCATGCATTCTTTATCTAGCCCCTTCCCTTTAAAATCTAAGATTGATTCCAATTTTTCTGAGATTCTAAACAACATAGTCTCCCTCTGCTGTGGGAGACTTGGATTGTGAGTCACACACAGCTCACATCCTCACTGGAGGATCACATCATAGTGAGGATGTGAGCTGCAATGAAGGCCACAAATCCTTCTCTTGACACCCTATTCCCTTAGGTTATATTCCAGGACTTGTAACATAGATGCATATAAATATATCTGTAACATAGATGCATATAAATATATCCAGGCCTCTTGTAAGTAGTCTGTTGATAAACTGCAGAGGTTCCTAGTAGAACAGGAATACATGCCTGCTAGCAAAAAAGTAGTCCAAAGATTCCCCAATCAGCTTCTGCTTTATTAAACTCATTTCATGCTGCTTCATTATTTTTTTAATAAATTATCAAAAATATTATAAAAAAAAACTTTAAAAACAAATATAATAGAATCCTCAAGAAGGCCTCTTTTGAATTGTAAGACACACACAGTGCACACCCAAAATAGTATTTCAGCAAGACACCTATGTTGATTTTTCTTTTTTGCCTTGTTAAGACATAATGGTGAGTCTCATTCGGCATGGAGACAAAAGATCTGGAGGCAGACAAGTGATGCTGTGTCCAACAGTGTGAATTTACTTGCTACCACTCTACTGTATGCTTAAAAATGCTTGAAATTTTAAACTTGTTATATATACATATGTATGTACATAAATACATGTATGTGCATATACACATATCACACCACAATTTAAAAGAACTCACTATATTGGTGAACAATATTAATAATGTTGAACAATATTAATAATAGAGAACAGCTACAGAACCTTTTCCTTGTTAACTAAATTGACCACTTAAACAATATGTTGGCTATTTTAAATGATAATCAAAATATATTTCCCAAAGAAATATTAGTTCTCTATTAAGCTAATTTTTATAATGAAGCTAACTTCTGTCTCTAACCCAGAGAATTCTAGTGCTACAGTAACAATGTAGAATGTTATTACCTTTTCCTTCTTTTCCATAGCCTAGGGCAGGAGGAATGATGAGCTTTCTCTTCTCTCCTACACACATTCCCATCAAGCCCTGGTCCCAACCTTTGAGAGCCTCTAGGATGCCCAAGGTAAACCAAATGGGCTGACCATTGTTATGTTTGTGACTACAATAGAAAGAAAACACATTAGAACTCTTCAGTAACTACTTTTTTTTTATTGCTGTGCTATATTTTTTTTCCATCAGTAGATAATTTTATTAATTGGGAAAGTAATGAAAACAGTTATTCTTTATTTCCATACATATATCACCGAATCAATTTTATAGTAATTCATTGCCCATCTTTCTAGATGCAAATTTCATAGTTGACTCAGGTAGAGAAGGACAGAGGATATAATCATAATAGCCGTTAACAGTTGCTTAAGCATTTACTGTGTGAAGGTATTCTCATAAATACTTGGTATCTTCTAATTCCAATAATGATCATATAAGCCATTATTTCCCTTGTATTCATGAGGAGATGAGATTAAGTGTGACAATGTTTGACCTAACTCCAAAGTTCAAGATCATAACCAACAAGTGATGCTGAACCATGAAGGCTATTAGGGTGCAGAAAAGTTAGAAATTAATGGAAAAATTAATGTGTTTGGAAGAATAACACAGAAGACTGGAGAGGCCAATGTACAGTATCACATGTATTGCCTACAAAATTGTCTGATATGGAATCTGCTGATGACTGATAGGGAGAAAATACTGCTCCTTCTTCCTGAATTCCCACTCAGACACTGGCCAGTTTCTCTCCCTTAAGGGTTTACTGATAGGTATATTCATAGTTAGCAGCTCTGAACATGATACTAACCCCCTTATCAGGTAATAGAACATTAGTACAAACTGCTAAATAATGTCCCATAATGACTACTAAAGTCCCCAGATCTGAAACTTGAAAGAAATCAGGTTGAGTCTAAAAGAATACAAGTCATATTGTTTAATATCCACTGTGTCAACAGCCTTGTTGTTAAAAGGATAGAACTATTGAGAGTTCTATCACTCTATCACCATTTTAGAACTTTATGTTAGGACAAACTGAATTCAGAGAAGAATCTTTCACATCAAAAGCTCACAACAGATCAGGTCTGAATGCTATTAATGGTATTTATTAAAAAAAAAAAAAAAAGAGGCCTAGGATGGGCTGTGACTCTAGTTAGTTCGTGTCATCCTCTGCACTTGTCCTCCCTGCCTCTTCTCCACAAGGAAATTTCTATCAACTGTTCACCTAATTATGAACTCTGGGAAGACTTACTTTTACCCCACCTCTCAGAGCATAATTAATTTGAGACTTCACTGTGCTTTCTGAGCACTTTGAACATCCTCTACTCTATATTATAAGTTATTTACTTTCTTCCCACCCCTGTAGACAGTGCACTGCTGGAGGACAAGAACCCATTTGCATCCCCAGGGCCTAACTCAAAGGGTTTGATCTGATGCATAAATGAATCAATGAATGAGAATGGAGAAAAACCAAAATTTTTGAGTATCTCTAGTATCAAGCACAAAATGGAGATACTCAGTAAATACTTTCGGAATGAAATGAAAAGATTCATGCCTAATTGGAAATCATTTCACTCATTAGATTTTTCCATGTTTCAATTTCCTTGTTTACAGTACAGAAATGATGATACTATAAGCATCTGAAAATATTATCTGAAAATATTAACATTTTCAGATGTATTCACTGTAGGTATTGGAATATTCTCCCATCACTATACCCATTAATAAAGTCTTTGAATTTCTAGAAACAAATCATGGTTCTGTGCCTAGACCAAAATGTCATCTGTCAGAACAAAAGATATTTTAGGTCAGTGTACTAGCATTACCATCTCTTTAGCAGATAAATACATGAGCATTCTTATTTTGAAGTTTCTATGAAAAGGTTTTAAGTAATTTTTGCGTACACTAAACTAAATACGAAATTGAGAAACTTTCCCTCGGGGATGAAGTTTGACATAAGAGAATTCCTCTAAGCTTTTTCTACTTATTACCTAGCAATACACCTAGATATTTCTGTAGAATAGTATTTCCACGATTCTAGTTCTAATTTTTATAGTGAAAAACATTGTTTTATGCCAACAAGTTTCAAATAGGACTTTCAAGGCCCTCATTATTTAAGATTGACTTTAAACACTTTCCTTTTCCCAGGAAGGAAATAAAATATTGCAGTTTTAAAAAAGAGAATAAAGTCTAGTACACGCTCTCTTTCCTGCTTAAGAGCTGGCAGAGGTGAGTGGATTCTTTCATCAGCTTACTTGTGGGGCATAATGACTTACGTGGAGTGAAATAAGGAACCATCCTTTTCTAAGTATCCCTCATAGTGGACCAGCATCAAATCCCCTCCTTTGGTCTTGCGATGGCAGATGAAGGGCTTCTGGAGAACTTCAATCTTCACTTCTGGTTCAGGGATCAGAGCCCCACTCATCGGAGTGACTAACAGCGTAAGGACTGCGTTCCACAGGAAAAATCTCATGCTTCTGAAGTTCCTACAACAACAGAAAAAGGATCCCCGTCCTCATAGAGTTAAGAAAGTAGTTGAAAACTCAAAGGCAACTGGCCTTTGGCAAGTTCTAGACTCCCCTACCCAGTAAACGTGGCAGAATCACTATCCACAACCTTCCCACTCCGAAGTCGCCTCAAAAGAGTTAAACTCATAACCCGGCCTGATTGGCTATTAGAGCAAAACAGTCGGAAAGAGCGGTCTTCCATTGGCCTGTGGTTCTGTCGCTCACAAGCCTATCCACCAAAAGACGCTGCAACCTTGTAGTTTACAGCCCTCAGAGGAGGACAGTTGCCCCTGGGCGAATCAATCCGAGTGGTCCTAGAGTCCAGCGTATTGAAGCATTCCACAGCCTCGGACTTTGATGAAGGGGAGGAGCGTAAAGCTAACCGGAAACTCCTCCGGGAGATTTACATCTGTAAAGAACAGGGCGGAACCTGAGAGAGTTACCGAGCCTAGTGTACTAATAGCGGATTCAGAGAAGATTCATTTATTCTAGTCCTCTGTGAGAGACTCCCGAAATTTCACACTCCAATGCACATGTTACGGCTTATTTAATTTACGGTACAATCGATGAAGACATACCTAGCGCTTGAGAGTTCACAAAGCGTGTGAACTCTCACTACACTGCGTAATTCTCACTACATTGCAAGTAAGGCGATTGCTTTAGGCCATTTAAAAAAAAAAAAGTATATTTACATTAGGAGAGGTTACGTGTCCTGCCCAAGGTTGTTCAGCTCCCAAAGTGTTGAGTTACATCTTCAAATCAGGTCTTCTGATTGATTCTACAACACCGCATAATGTTATGGCCAACAGTTTTATCAATTTAGGTGACCTTACCTCCGAGGGTCAACAATAGACTCTTTTGAGGATAAAATTAATGAAGATTTATGTTTCAAAGAAGAAACAAAAGAATCATTGCTACGAGTTATTCAGACTCATCTTAGTCTAAGTTTTTTATTCTACATTTTTTGCCTAATTTCAAAAGCAACACACGTTCATTTGTAGTTATTTTGGATGAAACTGGAAACTGGAAAGCACTAAGTAGGATTTCCAATTAAAATGCGGGAGCAGAATTAAATTTGACTTTCAGATAGTGAATGTTTCTGGTAATTTTGCACTAAAGTAAAAGAAAGGCCATAATCCTAAAAAAAAAAATGTTCTAACATTTTGGTGCATGCTTTTGTTACATATTCCTGAAACAATTTAGATCATTTTTTGTGCACTTTCATATTCTGATTTTTCTATTTCATCAATAGTTAACATTTTCCCAAGTTAAATATCCTTAGCAGAGTACTTTTCCACACTTTAGTGTGCATAGGAATCACCGGTGACATCTTGTCAAAAATTCCTATTTTGATTCAGGAGATTTGGGTTTGGGGCAAAAGCTATCATAGGATAAACTCTTGGGTGAATCCAGTACTGCTGTCCAGGTGTGGCACTTCCACCACAGGACCTCTTTTAGAATTCAGACAGCAGTTATTTTACACAGGTCACACGTTATTATTCTATCCTGAAATTCCCATCATTACCGGAGGCCCTACAATTGGGTACTGGGGCGTGTGTGATCAATTACTTTTGAAGTAATGGACTGGAGACTAGAAGCCAGGCGGTAGCCTAAGTGGCTATGTTGCCGCCCAAACCACTCATGACCCACCACTAAAAGTCACGACTGAGTCCCATTTTGTCTCAGAGGGCTGCTCTCTTCACTCGTACTTCCAACCCCCAACCTTCCTCCCAGGCACAGGTTTCTCTACTAGCCGCTTTCTCCGCGCCGCCGCCGCCGCCCGGAAACCCCGGAGTGGATTTTGGGAACGTACGCGCCAGTGGTACACTACGCATGCGCGAGCGGATCCCAGGCCCGGCGGGTGGAAAGCTCAGGTAGTACGCTTGTGGCGAACCCTGCCACCGGCTGCCTCCGTTGCCACACTTTACGGGCTTCAGGGACCCCTTGGCCCAGCCTGTGCTTTGGCCTCCCGGCGTTACTAGCGCCGGCAGGGTAGCGCTAGCTGCCCCGCTGGCCGTGTCTTCACGTGCTGAAGCCGCCGCAGTGACCCGCCCCCGGGCCGAGGATGTGAAGCTGCCTGGGCGTCCCCGCACCGGGCCCGGGTGCCGGAGTGGGCGACTCGGTGGCGCCGGGCGATGGCTCTGCTGCCGGTGCTCCTCGCCTCCTGGGGCCTGGGACAGTGAGGGGACCCGCGGGCTTGAGGAAGCGGCCCCCGCGCGGTGGGGGCGAAGGGCCCGCAGGCGCCATGGAAGGGGTGCTTTACAAGTGGACCAACTATCTGAGCGGTGAGTTGGGGGCGCCCCAGGGCCCCAGTCCTTTGTTTGAGCCGCCGGAGGGCGGCGTCGGGACGTGCCCCCTGGGGGTCGTGGTCACTGTGGGTCCGAGACCACGGAGACCTGTGCGGACCAGGAATGTTTCCCCGAAGCAGTTTCTCTTAGAACCGTGTCCACTCCTGCCGTGCCGACTCGACCTCTTGGGTGGGGTGAGCGCAGTAGCCAGTCTTTCACTTAGAAAGCTACGCAATGCTAAGGTTTCCAGTGACTGGAAAGGCTGGATGCCCCCCGGCGTCCGTGGGCGAGGTGCTTGGATGCCCACGGTTGACTGCAGTCCTGCGGGCGCCTCCAATTCTGCCGTGGGAGCGGGTCTCGAAGGTTGAAAGGTTTCAAGTGAGTTGGCCGCAGTAACCTGTAAACCAGAGGTGAAAGGTCCTTTTCAAACTTTTCAGTGAAAACGCTTTCCCTTTGTTACCCTCTTATCAGAATTCCTTCTAAAGAGTTTCAAAGCCCCGAAGTATGCACAAGGATTTAATTTTTTTTTCTTTTTGTTTCATAGACTCAGAAATTACTAGAAAATGAATAGAAATAATTCACAGCTGCTTTTTTCCCCTGGGGGGGAGGGGGAAACCCGACCCTTTTCTAGTTGTGGAAGTACTTTTTTCATCTGAAAAAATACATAATTTTTCTTCAGCTATTAAGATAATTCAGGAGCATGTTTTCCCTTTTTATAACCAGTATCTAGCTATATGATAGAAACTGTGTGCTTTGGGAACTAAACTTTTTATTGTGGAAAGTGATTTAGGCACTTACAATAGCAATGTCTTAGAAACCAGAAATGTCCTCATGATTCTTAGAGTGGGGGAGGTGTATTGTCCATACTTCCTTTAGTAAGACAGTTTTGGTTTTTTGTTTTTTAAGATTGTAGCGTGGTGATGCTCTGGGATGTTTTAAGAAAAGGATGTCTAGGGGGATCAGTTGTCAAGTGATGAATAAAGTTTAATAGCACAGTCAAAAGTGCATCTGTGGAGTACAGTCTCTCCCCCATACATGATGTGATTAGAAGTGAGTTCTGCTTATTTTTCCTGTAATCAGTAGAGCGTGAGTGAGGAAAGTGTGTTAGAAGAGCTGGCTTTGCTTCAGTGACTTTCACTGATGTCAGTCCAATTCATTAGATGTGGATAACTCAAGGCTGGAGTTCACTGAATGTCCGTGGTTGATTGAACACTACTAACCTAAAGGGAGGATGCTGACCAGATTTTCTTTTGTGTTGCTAGTCTTTCACCTCTTTCCATGCATATATTTTTTTGGCTTTTTTCTTTTATCCCCAATACTCTTATTTATTTATTAAAGGTTTATTTATGCACTCAAGGACTGGGGTACAGGCCAGAGGTGCCAGGGTGAGAGGACTCACCAGAGACAGAGGGGGAAGAAGAACAAGCAGATTGACTGAAATATACTGCTAAGGAGAGCAGGCTGGTCAAGAGAGGTCTGCTATGCCATGTGGGTCCCCTCCCTGGCTGGGTATGGAACTCTGCTGTAGTCCTTGCTGATAGCTTCTTAGTGCTGCACTTTAACCTCTTGTGTCACAAGGGGGTCCCCCCTCTGATGCTCTTTGATACCGCCCTGCTTTGTTTTACCTTGAACTTTCTTCCTCTTCCTCCTATCTATGTAGAGTTTAGTGTCTAGTATTACTTCCTGGTTGTGAAGTGCCTTTTTTCTTTTCTTTCTTAATTTTTTTTTACTGTCATTACCCTTTGATAAAGAAAAATTTTGATAAATTTTTTTTGTATTTTTATCATGTGACATCTGTACATTCTGTTTCATTGGAAGAGTCTACTAAAGAAGAGGGGCAAGGACACTGGAGTCATCCCCAGAGGCAGCTGTCCTTATATTGTGCAGCTTGTTCCCCTGGCCTGAGCTCATGCCACCTTTTTGTAGGCTCACTCTTCATAGAAGCCCATCACACCACTGGGTGCTCTTCCTGGACATACTTAGAATTTTGAGTCAGCACATTCTCTTTTATTAAGAGATAAATTTACTTTGGCAAGGAACAGTAATAACCTAGGAAGGCCAAAGAAATTCTTGTTCCATTCATCTTCCTGTAGACTTAGTCTCCCATAAAGAACATAATGTAAGTATTAATGACAAGCTTTGATAGAGCTATCACTACATTTTCTTCTTACTTATTTTTAGAATTAAGATTTTTTTTCAGGTGGTTTCTTTCACACATAGTAATTTTCAAGTACATATAATCCCAGTCCAAGTTTTTGTTAACAATGATTTTTTTTTTTACAAAAGAAGTAACCTGTTGGTGTAGTTTGTATTTCTGTCATGCCCATAGCTTGATATGAGATAATTTGTGTTAAATTTGAGTGAAGTAAGGAAGTAAAGAAATCTATCAGTGGATCTTGGAAAGTACCACTTATGTGGG